CAGCTCTCTTTGTTTTTAGACACAGAAGTAGCTGACAAGATTTAAATGTCAGCTACGAAGATTTTACAATACCATCTGTGTGGGAAATTTTTGAGCATATACACAATATCCACACATTCATTTTATATGAATCTCATAGCACATAAAATATCCTAATCTTTATATTACTAATACTGAGCACGAGTTTATATTTTAGCAGCTCACACATGTTTAGATTTGCTTTAGTGAAATTTAATTTCAAAATAAAGGGCTTTAAAAATATTGAAATGTACTTTGTAGTTAACGAGAATTTGGGGAGATTGATACTTGCTTTAGGGCCCAGGCTGACCTTGAGCTTTCTGTCCCCCGCCTTTGCCTCCTTAGAGCTTGGATGACAGTTATACGCCACGCCCAGTTTAAATTTGCTTTTTAAACTGATGAATAAGAATATAACAATTCTACATACTTGTAAAATACCATTTGATATTCAACACATACACACATATAAATTTCTTAAAGTTAAACATACCTGTGTATCCAAACATACCATTTCTTAAGGAAAAGACTTTTCAGAATTTTTTTATTTTTCTTTTTGAAATGCATAGTATATTATTGTTATGTGTACTCATTGTCGTCTGTAATAATAATACTCAGTAATAACCTTTAACTATTTTCTATGACTTTAAATATGTGACTTTTTACCATAAATCAGATAAATTTGATGAATTCACTGATGTTCATATATATACATATACATACATTAAATTAGTATTAAAATGGCCTCCTCAGTTGATTTACAGGACATCAATATTTAAAATACTAAATATATATAAAATTTCATTTTGCATCTTTATATTTTACATTTGTATTTATTTCTTACAGTACCTAAGTTATTATGGCGAGATGCTTAAATTACCCTAACTCTGCATATTCCTTTTTGTTGTTGTTGGTCGTGGGGCTTGAACTCTGGGCCTGGGTGCTGTCCCTGAGCTCTTCAGCTCAAAGAGAGCGCTCTACCACTTGAGCCACAGCACCACTTCCGGTTTTCTAGTGGTTCATTGGGGATAAGAGTCTCATGGACTTTCCTGCCTGGGCTTGGCTTTGAACCGCGATCCTCAGATCTCAGCCTCCTGAGTAGCAAGGATTTCAGGCGTGAGCCACCAGCACCTGGATCTGCATATTCTTTAAGTTGTTGCATTATAAAACAAGTAATCTTTTTTGTTTTACAGAGAAAGTTATGATGAAGAAAACACAATTCTGTTGTATGGTAACCTATAATTTCAACTAATTCAAGGTCTTTCATCTGTTCAAATGACGTTAAGTTAGGCCTCAGTCATCTCAGTTCTTGGGGGAAATCAGAGCCTATGTCGCTTTCTGACCTGAATAATCTGCATAATCTGCATAATGCTCATTGAAGGCGTGGCTAGGAGGTGCCTCCCTTCTCTGCTGCAGCTCTGAGCTTTATATAATCTCTCCGCCAACTGTTGGTCTCACTGATGGTTGCTCTGAAGATGCAGAATGAAAGTGACTTCATATGGTAATTTAAAGTTGATTTCCATTGTTTCAAATGTTTACACATTTATCAATTTGGACTTTTTGATATAAATATTTAAAAAACTTAACAAAGTTTCTTATAGCTAAAATATAAACCATTGCTCCAGGTTTTCTTGTTTTTATTTTTTAATAAATTTTTATTGTGAAAATACCGTACAGAGGGGTTACAATTACATGAGCAAGGTAATGAGTACATTTCTTATCAAGCATTGCTGCCTCCTCTTTGTTTTTCCCCTACCATCCCTTCCCTTCCATCTCAACTACACTCCCACCTCCACCTAAATTTCGACATAACTTCTTGCTCCAGGTTTTCTACCTCAGTAAATCTAGGTGAAAATAACCTCATTTTGTAAGAGTCTTGTATTATGAATGCGTACATTTCTACTTATGGAGACGTATTGTTTGTCTATGACAGCAGAACAGAGACTCAAGTCCCCCCAAGATCATCTGATTCTGATAAAAACAATTTTTTTCATGCATTTTTTTTACTGTTTTTATAAAAGTAATTGTCAGAGGGGTTACAGCCATATAAGTCAGATAAAGAGTACATTGCTTTTTGAACAATGTCACTGTTCACAATTATTTTTCATTTATCTTTTATTTAAAAAGGCAGGAATTGTCCTATGAGTGAATAAATGACAATTCTTTGCAATTTATTTAAAGTTCAGAAAATTATTGAAGTATTAATATCTTGTGGGCATATTCTTATATGTGTATATGTATAGATGTATGTGTCTTTGTATGTACACCTAAATATACACAAAATATAAGTACATACTTTTTCTTTTTATAAGTAATATTCTGTAACTTGTTTTATTATTTACTGTACCATAGCACACTTTCCATGCCGGTGATCAGTGAGAGACTACTTCTATTGACTATGTTTTTTACTCTGTTAAGGCCAGGTTTGCAGATAAAATTAATTCTCCTTTACTCATTAAACCAATTAGTAAATAAGCTCTGAAGCCACGAATTAAGATTTAGTGTACGTGGTGCTTCATAATTTGATTTCAATACAAGGCTAAAATAGCCCCCACATTAAAATAGCCCAAGGTGAAGTAATTGAACTACATGCCTTCCCTGGAGAATAGAGCACATGTATGCATGTTGATTATTTATACAACTGCACCAACAATCACGTCATGCTTGTTCAGTAAGGAAGAGCAGTGAGAAACAGAATAATGGAATGTTTTTCCTGGGAGACCCGAGGTACCCAGGAAGACTCCTCTTCACAGAGTACAAATGGAACCTTGAGGCTGAAAGTATGTTTCATTCATTTTGCTTTGCATTAATTTTAAAATCTTGATGCTTCTCAGTCTTGACGCAGTGAAGGTTGGGTGGGAGATAAGGGCAGTAATTAAAAACAATCCAGATGGGCTGGGAAGGTGGCTCAGTGGTAGAGCGCTTGCCTTGCATGCTCAAGGCCCTGGGTTCGATTCCTCAACACCACATAAGCAGAAAAAAAAAGCCGGAAGTGGCGCTGTGGCTCAAGTGGTAGAGCGCTAGCCTTGAGCTGAAGAGCTGAGGGACAGGGCCCAGACCCAGAGTTAGGCCCCACGACTGGACCCAAAAAAACAAAACAAAAAAAACCAACAAAAAAAAAACCAATCCAGATATCAGAATTGTTGATAGTAGCCATTATTTTGAAAGATGAAATTTTTATATATGTCTTTGTTTCTAGTGTAGATGGTTTTAATAAACAAAAGAATAAATAAATGCCACTCTAGTCAGTTGAAATATCACATATTCTTTATTTTAGTAATTATACATCAATACCTTTTAAAATTGTTAGGGGAGTTTAAATGATATCATGTGCGATATACAAAAGTTTGAAAATATGAGGATAAGCTAGTTAGAATTCCAAACTAAAGTCTGATTGATAAGGATGGCCTCTTGAATATGCTTATTGATAACAATTCCTTTGCCTGCTGTTTGAAAGTCATAAATGTTTTCTGACATAGCTCATGAACCTACCAAGGAAATCAGGCTCTTGAAAAATAGGTCTCCTGAAAACAACTCACCTACTTGGGGCAAAGGAACAGGTTCTGGGATGTAGAAGTATCTGTTCATGGATGCAGATGGATGGTAGGATTCAGGGGTTAAGAGTCAGGCTTCCTGCTTTAAATCCATGCTCTCCTTCATGATGTAACTAGGAATAAAATGATTACTTTGTGTTTCAGGGTTTTGTTGCTTGAATGAAGATACCTGAAGAGTTAGTGTATGGAAAGTTCTGGGAACTTTGTAAGAAGAAAAGGCAATTGCAAAAGGCTTGATGAAAAATGGAGTAGGGTTTATGAGGGAAAGAAGAATAAGATCACTAACCTTGGAATGTGATCATGGGAAAAGTCATACAGACCAGGGACAGCTTTATGGTATGTGGAGGAAGTTGTGTTTCACCTTTGGGAGATACTAGGGGAAATTGTATGCATGGAAGTAACATACTCTATGCTTTCTAAGGATAACTCTGACTCTTCTGTGGATGAGGGACTGTTGGTGAACAAGGGCAGGGACAAATTACTTAGGAGTGATGCACTGTTCAGACAGTGATTTACCCTGTAGTATTGTGGAAGACAGGAAAGATGATCAAATTCAGGATATATTTGGAAAGAGTATACTATTGCATTAGATTTAGGGTATGAAGGAAAGACAAGAATGAGAGACGTATCCTACTAGTTTGGCTTGAACCCAAACTATTGACTCTATGTTCTGAAATGAAAAAGGCCTGGGTGGGGGAAGGGTGTAGAGGAGGGATATATATTTGATAGCAATAGTACATAGGTAGAACTTAAAACCATGAAAACCTTGATCACCAAGGGTGAGAGGATAGAGCAATAACAACTAATCTTGATTGCTTTAATTGTTAAAAAAGTCAGGTAAAGAAGAGTACATTTCTTTTTGGACAATGTCACCTTCTCCCTCGCTCTCTCCTAGTTTTTCCCTCCCATCCCCACCCACAAGTTGTATAGTTAATTTTCAACATAGTGTCCACTGAGTATCATTGCATTTGTTCACCCTTAGTCCCTCCATTTCTGTGCTTCCTGTTATACTCCCAAAGACATATAAACAAATCGACTAAAAAAGAAAAGAAAACAAAAACAGCAAAAAAAACACAACCTCTTGATTTCATTTCCTCGAGTTCATTTCAGTAAATAATATTTTGCATGATCAGATATACATATGTATTGTTCCTTTCTTTTTCTCTCCTGGGAATATCTTCCTTTGGTCTCAGAGTGTGTGAATGCTTAGAGATCTGTGTAATTTATTATGTCCTAGTGTATTTTAGATCTAGCTTCTGTATATGAGAAAAAACATGTGCCCTATTTGTCTCTCTGTGCTTGGCTTACCTCACTTAACATGATTGGCTCTAGGTCCATCCATTTCTCTGCAAATGTCATAATATTATTCTTTCTAATGGCTTATAAAATTCCATATTATCCATATTTTTTGGATCCCCTTATCCATTGTAGGGCATTTCCACAACTTGGCTGCTGTGAATAGTGCAGCAGTGAACGTAGGTGACAAGTATCCTTATGGTATCCTGGCTTGTGATGTTCTGGGTGGATGCCAACATGTGGTATGGCTAGGTCATAGGGTAGATCTATGTTTAGTTTGTTGAGGACCCTCCAGACTGCTATCCAAAGTGGTTGTACTAGGTTATATTCCAATCAACAATCCCAACTCTTGCCAACATTTGTTCAAATTCACTATGTTGGCTAATCTAACTGAGGTGAGATGGAATCTCAGAGTTATTTTGATTTTTGATTCCTTCATGGCAGCTTTAGTTATTTTTAAAATAAGATTTCGTGCTTTGTGCTTGAGCCTGCCTTGTATTACAATGTTCCTACCTACATCTCCCATGTCACTGGGAGTACAATTTTTTAACTACTACACCTGGTTATTTGTTGATATAGGGGCATGCTAACTTTTTGCTCTGCTAGCTTGAAACTCTGTCTTACTGATCGCAACCTTCCAACTAGCTGGGATTGTGAGTGTGAGTCACTGCATATGACCCTCAAGGGAGATTTTCTCATAAAAATTCATTTTTAATATAACAATACTAAACCTATCAGGTATTTTGTGCCCTTCTCATTTAAGGCAATGTAGAACAGAAGAGAGATATAAACAAAACCTTTGAAATAAGGAATAAACTTATAGTCACATCTATTCATTTACTTATGATTAAAAAGGACCTTTTTTTAAAGCCTTGAATATAAAGTAAAGATGATAGGCTATGTCTTTTCTCTTAAGAAGCTTAAGAGCCTAGTGGGACAAAAATGTCAGTCATTAGATATGTGATGTGTCATAAATGCTCTACTAGGGCATTTATAGGAAGAACTAGTTGGTGTAGATTGGTAGCCATAGGCTTGCTTTTTTCTTGCTAACACTTAATGTTCAATTTGTTGTTATGGATAATCTCTCTCTCTCTCTCTCTCTCTCTCTATATATACATATATGTATATGTATATATATATATATATATATATATATATTTTTTTTTTTGGTCATGGGGCCCAGATTCTGGGCCTGGGTGCTGTCTCAGCATTTCAGCTCAAGGCTAGCACTCTACCACTTGAGCCACAGCTCCATTTCTGGCTTTTTCTGTTTATGTGGGACTGTGGAATCAAACCCAGGGCCTCATGCATGCAAGGCAAGCACTCTACCACTGAGCCACCTTCCCAGCTCATGGGATAATGTATTTTTAAAGTATTTGGGAGCATGACATGTAACAGAAAAGTAATATACAAAATTTTAAATAATTAAATATCATTATAAGGTAATGATGACAACCGACCAATATAGACTTTGAACAGCTACTAATAGCATGATGCCCATGATTTATTTTAATGACCTTAATTCCTTTATTTGTGTGTCTGCTTATACTTGAATTTTTTCACTCAAGGATGATGAGACTCTACCACTTGAGCTGCAGCTCCATTCTGGCTTTTTAATGGATAGATAACTAGAGATAATAATCTCATGGACTTTCCTGCCTAGGTTGGCTTCAAACCATAATCCTCAGATTTCAGCTTCCTGAGTCATAAGGATTATAGGCATGAGCCACTTGTGTTCGTTACTGTTAACTTATTTCTTGATGCAACAGATGAAGTTATAAAAATTACCAAAACAGGCTATCCAAACAAAATCATCAGAAATGTGTGACTTTAAAACAACAGTGATGTTTCTTTTAATGGGAAAATTAGATATTTGCTTGAATAGATAAATAAAATATCTAATCTTGTTAATTTTTACATTAATTATAGATCTAACAATTAAATTGACGTGCGTTCCCTTTTAAGTAGTTGAATTTCTAGATCATTATGACATAAAGGAGAATTTTTCCTTACTCAAAAAATTACATTGTTACCACCATGACACTTTTCCCTGGTTTTTCGAAAATCCTTTTACTTTTTTCTTTTAAAATTACTAAATATGTTCGGCAATGCTTGTCACACATTAATGTCAATGAATCTAAGCTATGTTTAAGTTTTCCACTGGCATCTAGTAATTATCCAGAACCATGAAATGCAAGGCAGAATCTTCTGATGTGTAAAATTTCAATCCTGAAGAGAATTCCTTAATTTAAAACACATCTTTAGACAGTTTTAATTTAAACTTTTTTGTGTGAAAATTTACCCATATTTTCTGTAATTAAAGTTCTTCTTTTAATCAATAGTTTACTAGGGTATTATGTTCAACTATATGATAACTTATTATAAAGATGTTGAAGGGGACCTATCAGGGTAAGTTTCAAGTCATTTTTAAAACCTTTTGATTTTCTAAGCAAAATTTTCCATATCAATAGTGATCAACTATGTATTAGAAATAGTTATCCAGACTAAATTATCTCAGATAGAATTTATTTTAGTGCATATAAAAATATTTAGTACAAAACATATATTTCTCCTACAGGATGGAAGAACATTGGATTAACTTTTTATTCTGTCATGAGAACTTTTCTTTCAGCTACATTTTATTTTCAGTTCTGTTTTTGGACCAACATTAAAAAGCCCCAGACACTCAAACCTGAGAATTAGGTTGGTATCAGACACAAAGTATGTGAATTTTGATACCTTTTCATCACTTGTACACTAAGAATTCTATTTTTTAAATGATATCCTGCCAGCTTTTTCACAATCCATTAATTCCTGGATCAACATCAGAAGGAATGTCAGAGCAGAGTGAAATTCTTGTAAGACACAGATGTCAGGATCAAAAGTCAGAGACATTCTCGGAGCAGCAGGGAAGCAAGCTTGTTAGACTTTAATCGGAACAATTAGTATCTGCCATGTGACAGTCTCCATGCCTGGCCTTATATTTCTGTGAAGTTCCAGGCATGCTGAAAAGACAGTATTCTAAGTTGGATGGAAAATTTTCATGAGCTTTTCATTTTATTATTTTTAGCATGGCTTTTAAGTTTTGTTGACCCTCTTCAAATGTCCTTAAATGGTAAATTGTTGATGCACTTAGATAAACGAGGTTCCAGCTTGTTATAGAAACAAATTGTCATGTTCTGAGTGCATATATAATACAAAATGACTTGCTTTATGGATGGTGGTAATCATTAGTACTGGAGGCTTTTCTAGCCATTCTGTATCTCACAGATTGAGAGAGCTTTCATGACCTAGTCCCAGATTATTCCAGTGGATGTCAGTAAACGTGAATCATTGATGAAGGAAAAAGTGATTAAAATTAGATGGTGGTATTTCAGTTAAGGAATTTCTTTGAAATCAGCTATTTTTGCTGTGTGTCTTCACTAAACCAAAATAGCATCCTTTGATGTTATAAAAACATAGCAACCATCCAGTTACATTCACTACATGTTATTAATAAACTGATTTAATTCATTTTTCCTTACATTCTTTTTTTCTTCTGCTCTTTTGTAGGAAGTTTTGAACAATCATTCCTTTATTCAGGTATCAACTTTGGGGGAAAAAGTGAATATAACAAACTGTATGAAAAGAAACATTTCTGGCAAAGAGGAATGGGCCTTTAAGGTGTGAGCCATAATGAAAATTGTGGAGAAGACTTAGATACCAGAAATATACCTGCTGTCTGTCATAGGCTCAGTCAGTTCACTCTTGCCAGAAAAGTATCACTGTAATTGGCTAGTGATAGCTGTGGAAAAACAAGCCAAAGCCTATAGGAAAGAATATGAATGAAAGAAGAGAGTAAGTCCTGGCCTGAGTTACTCATAGTTTAGTTGGGGAAGATGGATCTTGTATTAGGGTCCCCAGAGGAAAAGAATAAATAGGAGGTGTCTATATTTACACCTACAGAGAGATTTATTACGGGAGGCCCCAAACTCATATCATCTGCCATCTGCAAAGTGGGAAACCTGGAAAGCCAACAGTCAAAGGCCAAAAAGTCATGGAGCCAGTGGTGTAACTCCCAGTTCGAGGTAACAGGTCTAAGAAGCTGATCGTCTAGTATCTAGGGACAAGAAAAGATGGGTGTCCAGCTCTGGAAGAGAGAATGAATTTACCCTTCTTCTACCTTTTTATTCTATTCAAGCCTTCAAGGGATTCAATGATTTGCACTGACATTGGTGAGGGCAGAACTAACACATCAGAAATGTTTTACTAGATATCTGATGATAAAAATCAGCTATTGCCATCCCATAAATGAGCCACTTAATATGACGGCCTTCCTGTCCAGGCTGGCTTTGAACTGTGATCCTTAGATGCTCAGATCCTCAGATCTCACCTTCCTGAGTACTAGGAATAAAGATGTGAGTCACCAGTGCCTGGCAGATTTAAACTTTTACAGGAAAAAGATAATCAACATAGTAGATGATGAAACAGAAGCAGGAAGAATAATCAAAAGACTATGATAATAATCCAAGTGGGAACTGATGAGTCTCTGAGTTAAGATGATGAGGATAAACAATAAGAGGGAAGGAAGACTTGAAAGATTTTGGTAAGACGGTAGAACTCTGTCATTCACTAAACAAGGGAGAGAAAAAAATGGAACTCCTTGGTTTCTGATTTATGTGATGAGATTGTACCATTTATTGATGTAGAGAAGGCTGTAGAGGACTGTGCTAGACATAATAATTATGTAGAAATAACACTAAGAATAAGAGTCATTTAAGATCACTGAGTGTATAGCATGGGTGTCATGCCCGAAATACCAGCTATTTGGGAGACAGAGGCAGGAGTATTCTGATGAAAAGAAAATGCAAGAACCTGTCTGAAAAAGAAAAAAATAAAACAAACTAAAAGCGAAAGAACTGGGGTACCGGCTGTGAGTTCAATCTCTAGTACTGCCATAAGAAAATCACTGGTTATTTCAATCAACTTGGGAAATATGTTTGGCAAAGGAATAGCCTTTCAAGGCTGTCTATGTCCTAATATCTGGAAGCTGCAATTATATTACCTGGCATGGCCAAAAAGACTGTGAGGATGTAATTAAGAATCTGGAGATGGGGGAATATTGGGAGGTAGTGAAAGTAGGAGAGGGGTTGGTTTGAGGAAGTAGATTGCTAGGGACATGTCTTTGGGAGTGGCTGTATCTTGTCCTGTCTCCTCCTCTATACCCTTTTCTCTGCTGCCTGTCTGCCATGAGGGGAATAACTTTTTATTTTTCTGCTACATGCTCTTACCGCCATCGTGTTTTCTGTCCAAGTGCGTGGCCAAGTGACCATGGATAGAACCCTTGGAAACCATGACCCGAAAATAGGTCTTTTATCTTTTGTTTCTTTCAAGTATTTGTCACCAGGATATAAACGTAACTGAAACAGAAAATTGGTGCCTCAAATCGAATCATGCTGTGACTAAGCCTACATTTGGATATGCTTTGTGGGAGGAATTTGGAGGAGCATACTAGAGGAAACCTGGAATGCTGTAAGCAAAGCTTGAGGATGGTTCTAGTAGGAGCCCAGAATGCCAACAGGAATGACAGTGAACACCAGGTTCATGACGTTTCAGATATGTATGAAGATTTCATAAGGAATTAGAATTTTTTTGGCAGAATACAATCTGTATTATATCCTGAATATCTTATTATAATATGCAATTATATATAATTATGCCATTATAATATACAATTATATGAGTAGTACATATGAATATTATATTCGGCCAAAAACACAAAACCTTAACATTTTTCTCATTTTCTGAGACTTGGAGTGAGGCTAAGTATAAAAATAAAAGAGCAGTTAATTTGGCGGAGGAAATTTCAAGACAGCATATAGATATTTCAAGGAAGGTGGCTATTGTCTGCTGTGTTTAATCAAGATAAACTGGGATGAAAACCAGAGCAGAAAGATTTGTAAAGCATACAACTTGACCATAAAGAAGAACATTTAAAGTTTTGGACAAGGAAGGTATAACCTTTGTTATGCCTTTGCTAAAAGATTAGCACTATTAAAGGTAACTTTTTTGTGTATGTGTATGCATGGAGGTACTGAGGCTTAAACTCAGGGCCGTGTACTTGTTAGGAGCTCTACCATTTGAGTCACATTGCAAGCCTATGCTTTTTTTTATTTCCTTGTGCAGTACTGGGACTTGGACTCAAGACATGGGTACTCTTAGTTTGGCATTTAAGGATGACACTCTACCACTTGAGCTACATCTCCACTTCTATCTTTTTGCTGGTAAATTGTAGACAAGAGTCTGACAAGACTTTCCTGCCTGGATGGCTTTGAACTGGGATCCTCAGATCTCAGTCTCCTGATGTGCTAGGATTACTGTTACTCATTCCCAGCCCTATTTTTTGTTATTTGGTTACTTGGTTTTTTTTTAAAAAACAACTATGTAAAGGTGAGGAACTACATACTCTGACCTTCATTAGTGTGGGGTTTCAATTCAATCCAAAATATTAGTTTCATATCAGTAGGAAGTCTTTGAACAGACTATCCAGGATATTTTCTCTGATCTCTTTTTGACTATCTAATAAACACTGTCAGTATATATTCTTAACTTATATAATCTTTTTTTATGGTGTTCTGATTAAATTTCCTTCCTTTTTACTGTACAACATTTTTATCTATTTTCTTTGATCTGCTTTTATGAGGAAGACATGAATAGGAACTTCTAGTTTTTTTCGGTTCTTAGAGGAATAGAATGATTTCTTACCAGAAATAATTGAATTTCCAATCACTGCTTTTTCCACTGCTTCTCAATTTATTCATTGGTCCAACATAACTTTTGAGAGCAGCTGTGTGTCAGGTGGTATGCTAGGCCATTACAGCATAGTGTACTATGTTAGACTGTGACAACATAGTGGTGACAGGAGAGATAATATTCCCATTAAGCTTCCAGTTACCTTTATAGTCAGACTGGCACACATGCTGACATTAGGTACTTTGCTGCTGTTTTTTCTTACTTTTATGTTCTCAAAAAGTATTTATCAAGTACTCACTGTGTCAGGCCCTGTTCACAGTCCTAGTAAACAAGACAGATAAATGTCCATGCTCAAACAAGTTCCAAGCCTTTACATTCTGAATATATTGAGATGGCGAGACAGGGGTCATTGAGGGTGGTGAGAGGGGAAAAGATATATAACCAAAGAGATAAATCAGAAAATATCAGCAAATAGGTTAAAATAACATCTCTAGAAAACAGAGCCTGCAGCACAAGCTTTTGTGGTAATGAAAGCTATACCAAGGAAGCAACAGTGAAAGAAAAAAGAGAAGACAGGAAGAGAAGTAGGAGAAAGCCAAATCAAAAGATGGCATTACCAAACTAGGCATACATTTTCAAAAACATGCAATCAGATGCTAGTCTTACCATACCTTTCTAGAGAGAGGAGGTATAAAGTTACTGCCTCTCAGAACAGTTGTGAAAGGGGGAGAAGGGAATGGGAGTGTGAACAGTTCAGTTCATCTCTTTCTTCCTTGCTGTCTCTCTTAGTCTCTACTAGGAGATGATAATTGTCCCCACAAGTCTCTCAAAGCAATCTCTTCCAAGGCTAGACTCAGACTTGGTCAGCTAGTTTGTAGGTGTTGTGATCTCTTATTAGTTTTTTTAAAATTTTATTTTATTTTGTAAAGATTCTGTACAGAGAGGTTACAGTTACATGAGTAAGGCACTGAGTACATTTCTTGTTGAACACTGTTATTCCCCCCTTATTGTTCTCCCACTATCCCTTTCCTCCCCCACCTTCCTCATCCCCCCACCAAGTTGTAAAATTCATTTCCAATATACTGTCTTGTGGGTATCATTGCTGCAAAGGCTTATCCTGTGTCCTTGTTTCAGTGTTTTGTTATTCCTATCCCCTCCCCAAATTAGACAAATGTGTATTGTATACAAGATGCAGGGTACC